ATCAATTGGGTATAGAGCACACTTGAGTGGAAGGACAGTCACAATTTCTGTTTCTTTCCAAGAGGGCTCCCAGGCCATGTGCAGCCATGAAAAGTAGAGCAGAGCATTCACCACACCAACCTCAACATCCTCCTCCCCTCCAAGGCCCAGCTCCTGCCCCTATCCTGTCAGTTCAAAACAATCCCTCCCACATGCAGACATATACACCCTGCAATTTAGCTTTCGTAGGATAGCCTTGCAAGTGTTGATTCCCAGGCAATTGCACTGCATCCTGTCCATATGTTACAGCAGCCAATTAGTATGCATGCTTGTTCTGGAAATCCATGAGATATAAAGTTTGGAGACCAGACTGAAACCTATGGTTTAAACTGGCCTTTCTGCTTGGTGATATAAAACGACAATTCAAATCCAAGACATAAAACCATCACCTTGATTTACATCAGTCTATTTACCTTGTTTTGTTTGCACAGAATCGGGGTTAAGTTGCCAAAGGTTGGGTATACATACTTCAAGGGAACATGATAAAATTTCATTCTGCTTTCCACCAAGTTGTTTTTGTGTGTGCTACTTTTGGTTCAGTCTCTTGAGGGGTATTCACACTCAGGCACACCTCTCAGAAGCTCTTTGTTTTAAGATGCTACAGCTGAAGCAAAATTTGTGCTTCCAACACCCTTTCAACACCCTGTCATGTTCAAGATCAGCATGAATGTGGACAGCTGTTGGGGGTCATGAATAAAAATGCTGGTATTTTTCACATGCATATTTGAAGAGGTTGCTTTGTGCCTACCCTCCTTTCACTATTTGTTCACACCTACACACACACACCTACCCCTTCTCTTTCCAGGAGGCAAGATCTCGTTTACCTCCACTAAGACCCAGAGAGGCACAGGCATGCACTCGTGTTAGGGAAAGCAGCCCTATACTATGGAAAGCAACAATGGATTAGGGGCAGGAGAAGCAGGATCAGACAGACAGAAAGCAAGCTAAGTTTAAGGAGCAAGACTTAGATTCACTGCAAGCAGCAATCCAAGACTGGAAAAGTTGTGAGATGCAATCAAGTAGTTCTAAACAGCACCTGTGGATCTGCTGGTTAGCAGCCTCTTCCTCCTAGTATATGTATAATGCTTGAGCATGTATAATGCTTCCTCCTAGTATGTATAATGCTTGAGCATGTGCTGTACAATTCCTCTGTTATGCTGGCCTCTCCATCCCCACTCCACCCCCACTTACCGTATCTCTCAATATCCAAAGTTAGATTGCAAGCTCTTTGGGGACAGGGGCCTATTTTCATCGCTAGTAGGGCTGTTCAAGTAGTCTTGGTCTCTGAACCTGCCCTCACCCCCAGAACCTACTTAATGCAGTCTCACATATAAGCCAACAAAAGTCACTAGCCTACAGATATTTGAGAGCTACACTGCCTAGACACGTAATCATTGATAGCAGGGGAAAAGAAAACTTCTACAAAGCTACCTTATTATTAAGTCAGATGCACTGTGCTCTTGGTGGCTTTCTTTGCATGGCCTCTGTGCAAAACTGTGCATCTAACAGCATTGTCTACACAGAATGGCAGTTGTTTTCTCAGACCTCAGCCCTGCTGCATAAGATCCTTTTAATTGGCAACGCTGAGGATTGAACCTGGGATTTTCTGCATGCAAAACATGTGCTCAACCACTGAACCACAGGCTCTCTCTCTCTAAAGCAGCTTTCTCCAACCTGATGCCCTCTAGATGCTTTGGACTACAACTCCCATCAGCCCCAGCCAGCTTCCCTGCCTACTGGTGTTTTGTACTCACCAGAGGCAAGCAGGCACCTCACTATTTACAAGGTAACCCTAACACAGAAACACACACTGATCCAGATAGCTTCTTGGAAATTTGCCACAATAGTTTCTTAAAGGGAAAATGCTGTGTATGCTAATTCTCCCAAATACACACACACACCCCTACACAACTACTCCACAAATTTAAAAGCTCCTGCAACCACCCTCTCCAAACAAGCTTTGGGGGTGGGGGGTAGGAATGCTATAGAATGTGTGAATTCTATCGGAGCATCATGAATGATGAACCCTTCCCCCTTTCTGGATGACAATCAAGGTTCTCACAAATTCTTTCATCAGGTTTAGAGTGGTTTCCTTCAGTGAGTTTCCGTCAATCAGACCAAACTTTCAATCCTGGGAGTTTGCTCCTAGCACGCATCCAATATCTGTGGTTTAGCATTCCCAGGCATCAGGAAAGTTTAACATTAGAATCTGTGTGTGTGTGTGTGTGTGTACACGTACATAGCACCACCACCCCAAACATCAATAACAATTGAGAGCTGGTGTGGTGCAGAAACTAAAAGTCTGAGTTAGAGACCAAGAAGTTTCCAGTGTGAATCTCCCTTCTGTCATTATCGTACTACATGACCTTCCAGTGTTTCTCAAGCATAGGTCCCTGTTGGACTACAATTCCCATCATCCAGCTAGCTAGGGATGATGGCAGTTGTTGTCCAACAAAAGCTGGGGACCCCAGTTTGAGAAACAAGCAAAGGGATGGCCCTGCCACACAGAAGCACAAAGAGACTTGCTTCAGGTGGCTTGGTGGGGTGAGTGAGTAGAGAAAAAGGAAGGCAGGAACTGTGTCTGAACAGTGCAACAAGACTTTGTAAAATACTGCCCATGTGGGGGAGATGGGCATTTGGAGTCAACCTCCAACAGCAAAATGCTTTTGCCTGGTACTGCATGGGGATCATAAAACTGACCTACCATACAGGATTGTTGTAAGGATTCTAAACAATATAATGTACATGAAGTGCTTATGGCTGTGTTCACTATACATTTAAAGGCCCATGGCTCCCCCCCCAAAAAAAAAAATCCTGGGAAGTGTAACCCACACCTCTCAGCAACCTACAATTCCCAGCACCCTTAACAAATTACAGATGCCAGGATTCTTTGGGGTAAGTAATATGCAGGTGTGTACACATTTTTAAAAGTGACATGAATTGTAATTAATTGATGCCCCAGTCCCTAGCCTTGTTGCAACCCACCAGCACCCACTTGAGTGCAACACTCTAACCTGCAACTTCCCTCAAAGGAAACTAGTTACTTTCCATGTGAGCCCTCATCCAGGTCCCAACCAGGAGAAGAAAGGTTTGGTAGGTAAATAAACTTACCAATTTAATTTTTTTTCCCCTAGCCCTACTCCTGGGAGTGGGCTAGGGGGTTCATAACAGTTTGAGAAAGAGAAAGGAAGTGGGTGAAGCATCTCCCACCCTGCAGTGCCAACCTAGCATTGCTCCATTTCCCCACCTTGGGCTGCTGCTGTTGAAGACAGAGAAGCAGGTTGGGGTGAAGCAGTCACCCTAGAGGACAAGAAGTTTGCTGAGCAGTAGCATACAGGAGGATATTATGCTACACACGTTCAAACTCCCACCCACTTCTATGCCCTGATGTTGTCATCTTATCTTTCTGGCCTGGCTCCAGTGTCTTTAATGACAACTAGTAACAAAGACACAATAAAGCAAGTCAATTCACACCACTCTCCTTTCCAAGCTGGGAAAAGCTTCACTGAGATTAATGTCTATGTTTCCAGTTGCTGTTCAAAGCATACAAGCAGGGTCAAAAAACTGGATCACACATGCATGTTGTTCCCTTGATGACACTGCACCCGATGGCTTGGCATGGGAACGTGTGAACCAACTCTACTGAAAAGCACTGTGTTGGATGAGATACATGGGAACATGAATCTTCTATCTGCTGTGACTCATGCATGCACATATACACAAGCCACAGTCATAAAATGAGAAAAATGCATGTGTAAATGGTTCTGGGGGGAAAACAGGCAATCCTATTATCCACCACACAACAGCCACAGAAAAAAAGTTGCAACAGGCCAGAACCACCAGGAAGTGACAGTCTTCCTTATCTCATTGCGCCCCTTGCCACCCATCAGCCATAGATCTCTCTGTTTCCCCTAGGGCCAGGAGCAGCTCAGTGGTAGGACACATACTTGGTTCAATCCTCAGTTTCTCCAGTAGAAGCATCCCATGCAGGTGGGCTGAGAAAGACCAGTGATGTGGAACTTGTGGCCCTCCAGCCATTGCTGTCTCCCAGCTCCCATAAGTCTCAACCACTAAGGCCAGTGATTATAGGAGCTGGAATCCAACAGCATCTGGAGGACCACATGTTCCCATTTGTACTGGAACATGAAATCTTGGATGACTGCTACCAGCATAGGGAGCATTTAGATTAGATGGACCAACAGGCTGACTCTGTCCAATACAGTTTTGTACCTTGCTCTGAACCATTATCAGCAAGAATGCACAGTGTCATTTCAACACTAGTTTGCTGCCAAGCACCATCCATTGGCCACTGATCTCTACATCTTCCATAAAGCCATGAATACAATCCTTCTCCCCACCCCTCCTGTCCTGTACTTCCAGGAACTGCAACAACCAGCCAGTGGCGTAGCGTGGGGGGTGCAGGGGGGACCGGCCGCACCGGGCGCAACATCTGAGGTTAGGGCAAATCCACAGATTAGGGGCCGCAAATCCACGGGTTAGGGTGCGCAAATCCATGGGTTAGGGGGTGCAGATTACTTGCCTTGCCCCGGGTGCTGACAACCCACGCTACGCCACTGCAACCAGCCACTAGAGCAGGGATGTGGCCCTCCAAAGGTTTGATGGACTCCCATTCCCATCAGCCCCAGCAAGCATGGTCAGAGGTCAGGGATAATGGGAGTTACAGTCCATAAACATTTGGAGGGCCACAGGTCCCCCAACCCTGCACTAGAGAAAGTAGAAACCTTATCAGGCATTACATCCTTAAGCCTTACACTCTTCAAAACCCAAAAAGCCCATTGGCCACAAGAATAGCAGACAAACCTGCTTCAGTTCAAGACAGCTGGGTCACCAAGATATATCAGCCAGGGTCTCCAACAGAGATACCCAATTTTCACTTCTTGGGTTGTCCCCATTGTTTCCACTAATGCCAAAAGGAAAACAAAACTCTTGTTTGTACTCACAGTTGTGAAGTTCTTCTCGCCACACTCCTGCCCCCGGAACTTGCAGTATAACAACATCTCCTTCATGTCATGGCCCACACGTCCCATGAACTCACTCATGCTGAAGACTTTGGCTCGGTGATGCTGGAAGTTGGCCTTCTCTCGCAGGATGGCCAGGACTGCTGGGTCAGCGAGATGAGGGTGAAGGACCTGGAGGTTGACATCCAACAAGGCCAATAGGTCGCCAGCATGGTACAGGTCATTGGTAGTGAGGCGGGAGAAGCGGAACCCGTTGAGGTTGCAGATGGTAACAGCTGGGAAGACCAGGCTGTGGGCAACGACCTCATCCACTCTGGTGACATGCTGGTAGGAGAAGTAGTAGACCAGCCGTTCGGAGCTCTCCACCAGGAGAAGGCCCAGGGAAGCCACAAACACCAGAGCCCACAGGGCCCGCCGCACAGTCATAGGTCCATAGACAAAGATGTGGCGGATTCCATGGAGGGTTGAGGTGTTGGCAAAGATCTGGAGGCTGGAGGGCTGGAGGCTCCCCAGGCTTCCCTCGCTGGTGCTCTCCTTTAAATCCATGGAGAAAGGATTGGTCATGAAGGTGCCACTTCCCTCCTCTGACTGCAGCCAGTTTCTCGTGCACTCCAGCTTTCCCTCATGGGGTGAAAGAGGCAACAGAAGCAGCCAGCAAGCAGGGCAGCTGCATGTGAGTGTTTGGGTGGCAGTGGGGAAGGTGCTTGCTGCGTGCTCTCCCCAGCAGCCTGGCAGGGACAGTGTGTGTGGGGAGGGGGGGTAAAATGTTTATTTAAAATCCATTGCAACTCTACCGCTTGATTTCCTCGCTGCGATAAGGAGGGCTGGTTTTATTTAGGGAGACACCAAGGTGATGTGGAAGAGATGTGGGTGGGAAGGCAAGGAGCAGCCAATGGAAACAAAGCCCTCCCCCTTCCCGTTCTCTCTCTCTCTCTCACACACACACACACACAGAGCTAGTGATGAGATTACCAGTGTGTGAGAGAGTGTGTGTGTGTGTGTGGTGTGTGCGCATTTAAAGGGGAGCAGTCCAAGCTGCTTGCAACCCATCCGCTAAATAAGTCCGAGCTGCTTGCAACCTATCAGCTAATGTTTTATGTGGAAAGATGCTGCTGCCTGCCTCTGGAGCCAACACACTGCAGAACAGAGCAAGGTTCTTGAAGGAGCGGGAGGACTAATACCACCACCGCCCCCACTCCCTGCTGATGATTTTCCGGGCTGCTGGATTCCAGCATCCATCTCCTCTCTTCCCTTCTCAGGCTGCGTCCCCTACCCATGTCTTTTAGTCTGGGAGCTCCTCAGAGATGAAGCCAAGAGGACGACAGACAAAAATCGCAGGACAAAGGGCTGAACATGACCAGGTCATAGCAGAGCATCTGGGGAAGATTTGACAGCTGTACCCCCAGTAGTTGCTGGTGCAATGAAGGAAAAACAGCCAGGGCTGAGCTCCAATGATGCCTGCCAAGAAGGATTCGCCGGAGAACGCACTGGCCGCAGCAAGTAAGTTTGCCTCTTTTTTTGCCCTTTAATGTTTGCCATCTGTCTTGACAGGGTACCATCGGCTCCATGAACCACCACACTTCCCTCCTTCCTCATCTGATCCCAGGCTGACAAACTGCAGGAAAGAAGAGTTTATCATCAGGGTATGTTACAATGCCAGCCACACTGATTCTAATTTCTTATAAAGCTAATTCTATGTTACAGGGAAAAGGAGTAAGTGTCCAGAATTTAATGAAAGCTTAGCCACATTTTTGTCAGTGTCTTAAAACTCAGAGATAGACAAGTAAATGGCAACAGCGTCTTAAATGTGTTTATCAGTATACACTTGTGTGTGTTCGTGCGTGCATGTGCGGGGAGGGGGAGAAAGAGATTTACCACATTAATTAGAGACTGAGAGCATCCGTATGTGAATGCCAATATTTGGCAACCTTCACTGTAATATGTGTACACACACTGTTTTAGCCAAAGTTAAGCACTTTAGGGTTGCAGTCTTTGGTGCACTTACCTTCAAGTAAGTCCCATTGAATTAATTGGTACTTCTGAGCGGAAACCGTTAGGATTTCTATGTAAGCAGATGAACTAGGGAGCAAGTCCCACTGAATACAGTGAGGGTTAACGCCTGAGAAAACATGCATAGGATTGTGCTGTTATTCCCATTCATTTCAATGGGAGGATTAGGCACATAATTAAGCCTTGCCTATAGGAATGAATGAGACGTCAAAATGCTTAGCTTTAACTGGATCGTGCTCATGAAATATTGCAAAAAAGAGAGGAATGTGCAAACGTTTACTTTTCTGTCATATTTGTACCCCAGACTTAATCCAAGGACCTCAAGTCAGCATATGTGGGGTTCTTCTACAACCACAACAATCACGTGAGGTAGGTTTTAGGATGACAGGTGACTAGCCCTAGGTCAATCCTGTGAGCTTTGTGGCTGAACAGGGATTTGAACCTAGGACTTTTCCGCTCAAAGCCTAACACTTGATTCACTACACCATGGCTACAATCCTAACTATGCTACTTGGAAGTAAGTCTCATTGAGGTCAATGGAACCTGTTTCTAGGTAAGTGGGGTTAGGATTGCAGCCTTGCAAATGCAGAATAAGCACATGTGGGTGAGTGAATATATTTTAAATGAGTGTCTAGTTATGTAGACAAAAGAACTACTTCCAACCTCCACAGTCAGTGGCAGTTTAACTCATTATTACTTATCTGCTGCAGATACTGATACCTATTTTCAACTTATCCTCCACCCTCTCAGTTTCGCAAAACATTTATCAATTTTTACAATTCCTTGCAGAAGTATTTTATCAAGCACTTTTCTTTTCTCTGATTTTATATCATGCACTTGAGCACACACATACAAATTTCATAGCAGCGTATAAAGGGGTCACATGAGCAGATTTTACATGTCTTGTAGTCCACTTTTATGCATGTCAACCTGAAAATAAATTTCACTTAGATAATGTGGCTTGTTTATTTATTTATTCATTGAATTTATATATCGACCTATAGCCGAATGTCTCAGGGCGGTTCACAGAACGAAATCGGTTATTGGCTTAGTCCCAAGTGTGCACAGGATACCAACTTTAAATTTTGAAAAAGCACCAGCAGGACACACCATGGGGTGGGGAAGTGAAAAAATAATTATCTGAGGGCAGGGACGCGGACTTATAAAAAATATTGGGGGGCCCGGGAAAGCTCATGAATAATAAATAAGCTCATGAATATGCAAATAAAGTGGCGCCGCCTCCTCGTGAGCGAATAGGGGAGAGCGTGCTGCGCCTATTAATCAGCTCCAAAGGAAATTGGGTGGAGCTTTTGCTCGGGAGGGAGGGCAGGAGGCATGCAGCCCGCCCCTCCCTGTGCATTTTGGGCTGGGGGAGGGGCAGCGATGGCGCTCTGCTGGAGGGGCGCCGGAGATTATTGGGGGGGCGGAGCCCCCCCAAACGAATTTTTGAGGGGGCTCGGGCCCCCTCAAGCCCCATGGAGTCGGCGCCTATGTCTGAGGGCTATAATGCTTACATGCATGCATACCGAAACAAAACATATTCAGGGTTGCACCAGATGTGGAAGAAGATTCAGAGCAAGAAGCCAAAGTATGACCATTGGTATTCCCACAATTTTTATTTTTATTTTATTGTGAGCACAGGAGGAACAAGATTTACCACCACAGCAGGTAAGTCTGTGTGTTCCAGTAGTGGCTGGCACCTGTTAGGGCTGATAGGGTGGAAGGGAGGGAGCCCAGCAGCAGGTGGCACCAGAGCAAATGACAGGCAGAGCCAACTAATTCTAGCTTTGCCTCCATCCTCTTCCCTGCTGAGTTTTACAAGATAAACGAGAGGAAGCTGGCACAACCAATGCCACCCCCTGCACTGAATATTAGTAAGAAGGCAGGCAGGTGGGTGCTGGCTGACAATGGTGGAGCAGTGCCCCATTCACCCAGATGCACCAACTACCATTGCCAGTGTGTACCTGGTCTCCAGCAAGCAGACGACCAGTTGAATGTTCCTCTTCCGCTCCCTCCCCCTCCCCACCACTGCATTTTGCCTGAATGGCAGCAGAGATGAATCCGCTGGCAAGAGATGCGCATGTGTTCCTTTGCTACCCTAACAGCTAATACTTAGAGGGCCATTAGCTTACCAAGAGGCTGGCCTGGCTATTCCAACAACTGAATCCTCCATTAGATCTTAAGTCTTGCTGGATCCAGGAATTACAACAAGATTGCTTCTGCTAACAGCCTGCATAGGTGCTGCTTCTGGCCGTATTCAGTAACCCTTGCTTTCTAGGGCTCAGTTTATGCAAGAAAAGTCAAATGAAACAAAAAAAGCAAGGGGGACCTAGAAAATCCTGCCCCCTCCCCTTCATTGGCTAATGCATTAGGGAAGCATGGTCTTCACTTCTTCTTACACCTAACAATCATGCCACTATTGTTGCTTTAATTGGCAGAAATTGTTCCTAGAAAAGTAGAGGGCTTGAATTCTCGCTCGATAATATTTGGTCTTATTTCTTTATTCATTACTACTTGTATATATGATGTGATTATCATAATTATTATATATTATCTTTAATAAAATATTCTGTGTTAAAAATGCTTTTTCAAAAAGAACAGCGCTCACATAATGTTAAGGAAAAGAAAAGGTTACGGAGAGGCTTACTAGAAATGGAATTCACAAGCCTCAGTCTCTCCAATCTTAGCCAAATCACGAAGCCTCCTGCAACCTCCACCTCCCTTAATTCATAGAATCATAGAATCATAGAGTTGGAATAGACCACAAGGGCCATCGAGTCCAACCCCCTGCCAAGCAGGAAACACCATCAGAGCACTCCTGACATATGGTTGTCAAGCCTCTGCTTAAAGACCTCCAAAGAAGGAGACTCCACCACACTCCTTGGCAGCAAATTCCACTGTCGAACAGCTCTTACTGTCAGCAAGTTCTTCCTAATGTTTAGGTGGAATCTTCTTTCTTGTAGTTTCGATCCATTGCTCCGTGTCAAACATTAAGACTCCGTGTCAAACATTAAGACTAGGAGCTGCAAGTCTCTAGTTCATATCTCATCCCAACTAGGCTGCTGCTACCTCCCATACCTGACATCTATAACATAGAGGAAATAACCACTCTAGCCTCCTTAACAAGACATTGCAAGGCTGTGACACTCTATACCTTTAAAGCACATTTGAGTTCAGCACACACACCCCTCAAATAATTCTGGGCACAGTAGTTTGCTAAGGGTTGCTGGGAATTGTAACTGTAAGAGGTAAACTACAAGGACCAGATATATTTTTTTTGAGGGAAATAAATGTGCATCTTTCTCATAGCAGACCTTGTGAGGATAAGCAGCTTTTGAAATTAAAATCAAAAATTGGTAATCTGGGCCCAGTGTAGGGCAGTCAAATGTAAATGAACAACAAAGAGATAAAGTCAGAGGAAAAAATTAATAAATATATCAGCAAACAGTAGAAACAAAAACAGGCAAATATGATAGGCAAATCCTCCGATAATTATAGGACAAGTTTTCCAGGACTAAAACGCATTTCATACTTTTTTTCAATCAACTGAAAATACATATGAATAGCAACTGAAGACTCCTTGGTGTCTCAGTTTTCTTGCAGATTTTCTCTTCATTCAGGAGAGCACCAATATACTATAAACTTTGAAAACAGCTTCACCAACTATATGAAGTAGAATATATAATGCAAGACCACCACACATAATATACTGTAGTTAAAGATGCCTGTTGATTTCTGTTAGGTGCTACCATGCATCTGAATACAAACACCAGAGTAGTAATTTTGAATTAATGCAATATAGAAAATTAGAACATACAGTCATGGGAAAAAGAAAGTGCACCCTATTTGAATTCTGTGGTTTTACATATCAGGACAGCAATCATTTGTTCCTTAAAAGGCATAACGAATTTGCATTTAATTTTTCACACATGGCTTTTCCATTTTGGCTTTATTTCTGTTAAATAAATCACAACACAGTGTAATATGCCATGCGTCATTGTTCACCTGAGATTGTATTTACCTAATTTTAAGACCTGCTACAGAAC